CCGGGGGCGGGAGCCGCGCCGGGGTTTCCAGCCGGAGCCTTTCCTGCGCGCAGCGCCAGGACCGCGGCCGCAAGCGGCTGGCGCTAGTGAGAGAGCGGGTCGCCTCTGGAAGCCCATAACAACCAGTCCTGCCGTCCAGAGAAACCAGCTCTGGGCTGGATGAAAGGGAGCAGAGACCTGGGCGGGGAGCTGTGTTTATTTTTAAACAAACCGGCCAAGCAGACATAATATTTTCTCAAATGGGCACATCAAAGAATATGGGAAGCAGGAAGCCTTGAACCAGAGACAGCTTTGCCACAGTGGTCGGCGGAGCAGATGTCTGAGAGCCCTGCCGTCCAGAGAAACCAGCTCTGGGCTGGATGAAAGGGAGCAGAGACCTGGGCGGGGAGCTGTGTTTATTTTTAAACAAACCGGCCAAGCAGACATAATATTTTCTCAAATGGGCACATCAAAGAATATGGGAAGCAGGAAGCCTTGAACCAGAGACAGCTTTGCCACAGTGGTCGGCGGAGCAGATGTCTGAGAGCACATTTAAAAATACCTGGTGCCTGGAGCCATCTGTCCGCCTACCACTCATAGCCTACTAGCTAAACCAGAGTCAGTAGTCTGAAGCAAGTTTTCAGAGGTTACTTGCCTTCGTCTGTTTCAGCAAGGAGTCTGGTGGCACCTTCAAGACTAACAAGTTTGTTATGGCATAAGCTTTCCTGAGTTGCAACTCACTTCAGATCATGAAAGGAAACTCTTGCAGCAAAGTTCTCTTAGGATCATCTGGATACTACAGTAAGTGGTTTTTAGTATGTCAGTAGTTGTTATTCATGCTTGGCGTTACGACAGAAGTGCAATTTCAGCTTGGGCTAAGGGATTGCTTTGCTGCTGGAGCATTGTGGTGGTGGTGGTATTTTAAACATGAGTAATAAGCATCTCATATCTATTATCCGTATATCTATTATACCTAATTGTTTTCCAGCCTACCCCCATTTTAATTGTTGGTTCTGTTCTTGCCTACACATCATCCACAAGCAACACCCATATTAGATCAGAAACTTTCTAGTAAAGAAGGTGTAACTATGTTTCTGTTGTTTGTCTTTACTAATTGTAAACCCCCCACAAATAATCAATTACTTTCTGGAACATTCTTTTTATATGATTGGTTTCTTTTTGGATCAAGGTCAGGACAAAAATATTTGTAAATTCAGGGGCAGCTAAGAAGTATATCTGAGATAAATTGCATAGAAAAGCTGCTTCTGTCTAAATAAAGATATACTTGACTTAAATCACGCTAGTTTTTTTAACCTACTGTTGTTACAAGTAATACTTAAAAATGTCTGTCTAAAGCATTATAGAGCTAATTCCTTTTTGAAGTTCATTTACATTGTGCATCTGACACCACTGTTGAATAATCATTTTTATTGTTTCCTCCCCCTTTGTGTGTGTTTCACACATCAACCGGAGAGAAATATTTGTGACCGGAAAAGCACAAAAATTATTAGAGATATTTGGGGGATGGGTGTAGCACCAGAAACTATGTTAATATATTTTAATTGACTACATTTCAATGTGGCTGTGCCCATGGAAAAATAATCTTTGCATCTGTATCTGAGAGAATATAAATCTCTTAGTATATCTGAAAGACTGAACAGGCCAGACTTACGCTGGCAGAACCTAGGTTGTGAGACCACAGAGACCCCAACGGCCTTCATGACACTGGCTGACCATACCAGCTGTGGTCTGAACCTGGCTGGTATAACCTACAGGGGGAGAGACTTGATTCAGTGCATTCCCAGGCAGTCTCTTATAGGGCCATAAATAAAGCTGCGTCCTTTTTGCCCTGTGACTCCCAAATGGAATGGGTTGGTAATACTGCCTCCAGAGGATGCAAATTGCTGCTACTTTAGTTCATGGTTTGAGGTCCTTAAATGGGTCAACCGTGAGCTCATGATGTCTCCCCCCCAAATTAGGGATTTTTTTAGCCCAACTAGTCAGTTTTAGGTAATTGTATTGTGCTTTCCTTACATTCTTCAGTTCTCTCCTAATTGTTGTGTTGTGTTGCTTTGTGCCCTTAGACAATGGGTGGAGTGGTTGGTAAAGTTTGTGAAGTGCTCTGGGTAACCTTTCTGGATGAAAGGTGATGTGTAAATTTGTCATCGTGCTAGAAATTATCCCTGTAAAAATTCACTAGTCATCTGAATGTCGTGCCTAGTGTATGTAAAATAGTAACCTTTATGTTTGATGGAACAGGGTTTGGAACTTCCTAAGTATTTGGCCATTTCCAAAATGAATGACATTGAGTTGGAGAGGATGAACACTGATCCATCTGATGAGCAGCAAAACAATGAAAGAAAGTCCCGAGCTTGCACTAACTGTGACAAGCTTCATAAATCCATTTCCAAATGGATTCTTCCTGAAAATGCCAGAGGAACCTATCTGGAAAGAGCAAACTGTATCCCTCCTCCCCTTTTCATCATTTTCATCAGCATAACGGAGGTAAGCGTTCTTAGCTGGTAACATTGTCTTGCACTGAACATGAGTATTTACAGGAACAACAGTCAAACGATGAGATTTCGATTATACAAATCGCAGTTGATTCACTCCTGGGCTTTGTTGTTCAGCAATGCATTTTCCATGTGAAACATACTGAATTTTGGACCATTGTTAAATTAATGATTATCTACCATGTTGTAGTTTCTCTTTGATTTATTGGACATGTGTAGCCCATATTGTACATAGTGCACCGCTCTAAAGTTCCTTTAAGTCTGGCAAATTTTTATAATTCAGGATGAAATCTTCCATCTCTGGTTTCTGTTTCATGTTGATTTTTCTTTAAACAAATATTTAAACAAAAAAATGGGTCAGCCTCAGCCTTTTCTGAGAAAGAGCTTGGTGGGAAAATAAAAAATATTTGCTAAATAGTTTTTCTGACTTGAAAATTGGTAGGGGACAATTCAGAGATGTCATAACCCTATGAAAATCCACTCTCCTATGGCCAATTTAAGACCCTCTGAAAATTGCTACTAGCACATGCACAGGAGAACTTGTTCCACACTTGTTGACTGAGTGTCGTAAAATCCTAACTGAAGTGCTTGTCCTCCCAAATCTTGATGACCTGGCCGTCCTGCCCAGTCAAAATATTCTTTGACCAAGGGCATGTGCAGCTGGAATATGAGCCTAGGAATCTTGCCATCTTCCCCTGATTGGTCATTAATTGTCCGTTTCTCAATCTTTATCCAGCAAGACCTCTTAACCATAGCAAGTATAATTTTCCCAGTTTATATGTGAAGTAACTAAGGATCTTAGATGTTTCACAAGCCCACTTCAGGCAGAAATGCTGATGAAACACAAAACCTCCGTGGCAGCCACTGAATCCCACTGGGTATATCTACCCTGCAGCGTTATTTCGAAATATCTAATTTCAAAATAATTAATTCGAAATAGCTTCTTTCGAAATAACGCGTCTACACACAAAATGCATTTCAAAATAGCGTTTTTTCTATTTCGAAATAGCGCATCCACAGTGAGTGGACGTTGAATCGCATTTAAGGCTGGTTGGAACCAGTTCTGGCAGGACATCAGGTCAGATGTTACCTTGTGGCCATGGTGGCCAGCAGGGCACCCTGAGAAGGGCTGGAGGCCCCCTATTTTGAAATAAGCATCTACACAACACTTATTTCGAAATAGCAATTTCGAAATTGGTGCTATTCCTTGTGGAATGAGGTTTACCAATTTCGAAATAAGCCCTTTGCTATTTCAAATTAATTTCGAAATAACAGAATGGCTGTGTAGACGCTAGGATAGTTATTTCGAAATAACTTTGCTGTGTGACATACCCACTGTCTCAGTGAAAGTGTACACCGCATTGGTTTTTGGTTATGATGTCCAGGGCCGGCCCACAACATTTTGGCACCTGAGGCGGGGAGTTCAAATGATGCTCCCAGACTCTCTCACTTGGGCCAAAACTTTGAAAGGTCTCAATTCTGCCTTCTTCCCGTTCTACTCCTCTCATGGTGCTGCTCTGCTACCTACATGTGCACCATCAGCAGACACAATTTTCTACACTCTGGGTCCTAATGGCCCCTCCCCACAGTCTGGCACCTGAGGCAGCCGCCTCAGTTTGCCTCATGGTAGGGCCAGCCCTGATGATGTCCTCCATTCTCCTGCACCTCGAAAAGAACCAGGAATCCTGACATGGGCAGCGGGTGAAGGCCCAGCTGGGGAAGGCAAGCACCAGCTCTGTCCCGCCCCTGGAGCCAGGCCCTACCCCCAGCCCAATCCCTCCTGGCTACCTGGAGGGCTGGAGTTGCTGTGCTTACCGGCCCCAACCCCAGCCCCATCCTTTCCCAGCAGTGAGGGAACAGGGCTACTGTGCTGCAGCCACAGAGCTTCCCTGCAATTGCGGAAGCTGGGCTGCTGTGCTGCAGCCTCACCCCTCCCTGATGGCTGGGGACCTGGACTGCTGCATCATGGTCACAGCCCATGGTGGTCAGGTGTCTGGGCAGTTTTGATAAGGCTATGTCTTCCCTTGCCTCTGTTACCAGCTGCCCATGAATCCTGACCTGTTTTTCTGTGGTCCAGAAATCATACGATGGAATGTTTTTATTTTTTCAATGTTTAAAAAAAAAATTCCAGTGCTTGTGTGCAATTTCCTGTGTGGAAAGAAGGTTTGAGTTGGAAAATCAGGCATTTCAGCATTAGGGAATGTCAGGACTGAGGTTGCCCTGTGCAGATTTAACTCTTCTCCTTTGAGCCTGGTGTTCTCCGTTTCTAGTTCCATTATCACAAGCTCGTTGTTCTACAGTACCATTCTGTCACGTCTCTCCTGATTCAGCAGAATGCTCAGACATCTCTTTAAAATCCATTGAAGTCAATGGGATTAAAGAAAATACCTGGCTGCAAGAACCCCTTTAAATCTGTCAAATATCAGAGGGGTAGCCGTGTTAGTCTGGATCTGCAAAAGCAACAAGGAGTCCTGGAGCATCTTATAGACTAACAGATGTATTAGAGCATAAGCTTTCGTGGGCAAAGACCCACTTTGTCAGATGCATGTAGTGGAAATTTCCAGAGGCAGGTATAAATATGCAGGCAAGAATCAGGCTAGAGATAATGAGGTAAATTCAATCAGGGAGGATGAGGCCCGTTTCTAGCAGCTGATCTGGAGGTGTGAACACCTTCCTGACTGAATTTACCTCGTTATCTCTAGCCTGATTCTTGCCTGCATATTTATACCTGCCTCTGGAAATTTCCACTACATGCATCTGACAAAGTGGGTCTTTGCCCACGAAAGCTTATGCTCTAATACATCTGTTAGTCTCTTGTTGCCTTTAAATCTGGTGTTTCCTAATTCCAGCGCCTGGTTTCACAGCTCTATTCTGTAGTCCAGCGTGTGTTCTGACGATTACACACACACAGTTGTATGTTAGTGAGATTTCTGTCTATAGAACGTTTGGAATCTGCTGTGAGACAGTTACAGATTATTGGAGGAAACTTGTTTATATTTCATAATTCCAAATGGTTGTGGAAGTTGTTAAAGTCTCTTCTTGTTTCTAGTTGGCTGTATTCATTTATTATGCTGTTTGGAAGCCCCAGAAACAGTGGATCACGTTGGACTCAGGTGTCTGGGACAGTCCCTTTATTTACAGGCCTGACAAGAGGGAAGAAGCTTGGAGATTCATTTCTTATATGCTAGTGCATGCAGGGTAAGCAATGTAACAATGGATTCTACAAACAGTCAACCTGTGGAACTTTTTACTACCAGATGTTGTGAAGGTTAAGATTGTAACAGGGTTAGAAGAAGAATGAGCTATCCGTCATGAACTTATTAGCCAGGATTAACAGAGACAGTGTCCTTTGCCTCTGTTTGTCAGAAGCTGGGGGTGGATCACTTCGGCTACATCTGCACTGCAGGCTTCTTGCAAGAGAACCTTTTTGTGGAAGAGATCTTCCACAAAAAGTTCTTGCGCAAGAGAGCGTCCACACTACAAAAGCGCATTGCAAAAGTGAAGCGCTTTTGCGCAAAAGAGCATCCACACTGCATGGACATTCTTGTGCAAGAAAGCTCTGATTGCCTTTAACAGAATGGCCATCAGAGCACCTGTGCTTTTTCTGATTAGCTGTTTTTGCTCAAGAAACCCCAGTTTGCCGCCCACACACACCTTTTTGTGCAAGAGAGCCCTTGTGCAAAAAGGCTTATTCCTTGCAGAAAGAGGAATAACTCTTGCACAAAAGCCCTCTCTTTTTACGATGTACTGTACATTTTCTTGCACAAAAACATGCTTGTAGTGTGGATCCTCCACGGGTTTTTGCGCAAAAACAGCTGTAGTGTGGATGTAGCGTTGGTGATTACCTGTTGTATTAATTCCCTCTGGAGTACTTGGCATTGGCCTCTGTCGGAAGACAGGCTGCTGGGTTAAATGGACCTTTGGTGTGATGCTGTCTTCCCCTCTAAACAAGGTTTTCAGAAAAGCCAAAAGGTGATGCTTCATTAGGTTCCTCTGAAAATCTCATTCTGCATCAAGGATTCTTGTGTTCATTTGGGAAAATGGAAGATTTTACCTTGTAAAATTTACTAGGGGGCTGCGCCCTCTGCTTGCTACGCTTGCCTACCCACCTCTCTGGCTGCTTTTGCTTCAGCAAGAGCCTGTTGACACTGATGATGTAATGATGTCATTCTGTCATCCGTGAGGAAAAACTTGTATACATAGATAGAGAGATAAAGATCATGTGGTCAGGACTCTAGCCTTAAGACATCTCCGCAGGATGATGCTTCCAGGCACGTACTAGGACAATAGGATCTGCAACGTGGTGGGCTGTCCCCTTAAGAGTAGAGGTGCCTACTTGAGGGGTTTGGAACGGGTCCCATATGAGGAGAGGCTAAAGCGACTGGGACATTTCAGTTTAGAAAAGAGGAGACCGAGGAGGGATATGATAGAGGTCTGTAAAATCATGAGTGGTGTGGAGAGGGTGAATAAAGAAAAGTTATTTATTAGTTCCCATAATAGAAGAACTAGAGGACACTAAATGAAATTAATGGGTAGCAGGTTTTAAACTAATAAAAGAAAGTTCTTCTTCACACAGCACATAGTCAACCTGTGGAACTCCTTGCCTGAGGAGGCTGTGAAGGCTAGGACTATAACAGAGTTTACAGAGAAGCTAGATAATTTCATGGAGGTTAGGTCCATAAAAGGCTATTAGTCAGGGAATAGAAATGGTGTCCCTGGCCTCTGTTTGTCAGAGGCTGGAGATGGATGGCACAAAACAAATCACTTGATCCTTGTCTTCAGTCTACCCCTTCTGGGGCACCTGGTGTTGGCCACTGTTGGCAGACAGGCTACTGGGCTAGATGGACCTTTGGTCTGACCCAGTACGGCCATTCTTATGTTATGTTCTTATGAGGTGCCTAGTTGTGAGTCCACCCCAGTCACATGGCATGGCTCTTGTGCTGTTTTGGGAGGTTTTGATGTAGTCTAAGACCTAAGAAATAAGAGGAATTAGTGGAGAGAAAGAACTTGCAGCAATAAATAATGATTGGGAGGAAGTTTGTTACTGTTTCTTTATGGGCCTTGGTTCAGGAGACTGACAGAGTGGGCGGGGCAAGGCTCTCCTCTCACCCGGCCAACTGGGGATGAGTGGAAGAAAGAATAGAATCATAGAATCATAGAATAATAGGACTGGAAGGGACCTCGAGAGGTCATCAAGTCCAGCCCCCCACCCTCAAAGCAGGACCAAGCTCCGTCTACACCATCCCTGACAGATGTCTATCTAACCTGTTCTTAAATATCTCCAGAGAGGGAGATTCCACCACCTCCCTTGGCAATTTATTCCAATATTTGACCACCCTGACAGTTAGGAATTTTTTCCTAACTGCCTCCTCCTCAGTGACAGGGCAGACAATCTGGGTATGTAAATTAGACGTACCGACATTGCAAATTAAGTGGGAATTTAAATTTGAATAAAAATGGCCGCCACGTTTTGCCGAGTCAGCAGTTTGTTGGAAAAAGCAGCTGTCAAGATGGGGATCGGGCGACAAAGAAAGTCTTTGTCGCCCGATTTTGTACGAAGCATAAGGGATCGGCCGACAAAGGCTTTTTTTGTCGCCCGATCCTCGTCTTGACAGCTGCTTTTTGCTGACAAACTGCTGACTCGGCAAAATGTGGTGGCCATTTTTATTCAAATGAAGCGCGTGAGATTTAAATCCCCACTTCATTTGCAATGTCGGTATGTCTAATTTACATCCCTCTGGCCACAGACATACCCTCCGAGGAGAGTCCTGCCTGCAGAACCCTCTCAGCTAGGGCTGCCAGATGGTTTCAACAAAAATACCGGACACACTGGACATTACATCACAATCTACATTACATCTTATTTAGAAAATACCGGACATTTCTATTTTCTCATTTATATTTTCTCAATTTGTTTCCCAAACAGAAAGCTCAAATACTGGATTGTCTGGTTCAAAACCGGACACCTGGCAACCCTACTCTCAGCCTGAGGACTAATTGCGGGAAGGACAGAGGAGAAAGTGGGCCAGTACTGAGTACTGGTAAGAAGTGGCTGCTGGTACTAGCCCATACACAGCCCACCCTGAAACGCTGCCACAGCTGTGCTGACAGACCCGTTTTAATGTCTCTGCTTCTTTTGCACCCTCCCTCAGCCCCCCTGCCTGTAAGGTCTGGCAGCACAGCGCTTTAACGTCACTGCCCCTTTTGGCTCCTCCTGGGCTCTGACAGGGGGACAGAAGGGGCAGCCATGTTCAAGCCGGGAGGAATGGAGGAGGAGGAGCAGCTGCCCTAGACCCCACCCCTCCCTGCCACTGCTACTGTAGCAGAGGCTGGAGCCCCAGGCCCTTAATGCAGGGCTGAGGCTTGCTGGGGGAGGCTGGCCCCGGGCCCTCATCCGCGCCCCCTTTGCCAAGGCCCCACCTCTTCTAGGGCCCAGAGTCGGCCCCCGTACTGGCAAGATTTTTTACTTGCTTTCGCCCATGCGTAAGGGGCCAGGTTAAAATTGATAGGGCCCTACAGCTGTCCTACATTGTAATCCAGCTCCAAGGAGGCGAATGGAAGGCTGCTGTGTTAAGGAGGGAAACTTGGAAAGGTGACCAAGCTCTGGGACCACCTGACCAGGAGCAAAAATCCTATTGGGACTATTACATGGTCCCACAATGGGCATGAACGTCAACTTGGAAGTGAATTACGTGCTGTAGAAAAGTTAATACATCAGGCTCCCACAGGGGCAATACAGGCAACCCCCAATTTACAACCACCTGACCTACGGCCGCTCTGCTCCGGGAGCCATGGGGCTGCCTACCTCCTGGCACAGCCCCAGGTCGTCTCTGGGCGCCGTTTGTGCTGCTGGCTCCAGGAGACTAAAACTCCCAGGAGGCAAAGTGGGCCAGAACGGAACCCCCATCCATAACATTGCCCCTATGGACAATAAAGGTTCGACTTACGATGGCCTGACTTACAATGGTTCTCCAGGAACCAATTAGGTCATAAGTGTGGGAGTCACCTGTAGAGGGTTTGAAATCACCCAGTCTAGGTAATTAATTGAAGGAAGCAGAGTTGGTGCTGCAGGCAGTGCACCCACAGGGCCACAAAGGGGTGTGTGTGCTCATGGGCAGAGCCCCACAACAGGGTCAGTGATGACGAGAGAGCCAGGCAACGAACCACTAGCGCCGCTTCCTGTAGTAGTGAGCAGGACCAAAATCTGACCTACCCCATTAGTTTTGTTTGTGAGAGCTGTACAAGGTGGCGTAGATAGCATGGCAGTAAAGTAGCTTTAATCCCATCTGGAAAGATACAGAGAAGGGCAACAAAAATGATTAAAGGCCAGGAACATCTTCCATGTGAGGAGGGATTAAACAGACTGGGACTGTTCAGGTATGAGATGACTAAGGGGAGATAAGATAGAGGTCTAAAAAAAAATGAAAGTGTGGAAAAAGTGAAAGTGTTGTTTACCCCTTCAGAAAACAGAAGAAGTAGAGAGCACCACATGACATTAATAGGCAGCAGCTCTAAAACAATCCTAAGAAAGTATTTCTTCATACAATGTGCAATTAATCTGTGGAACTCATCGCTAGGGTCCAAAAAAGAGTCAGGGATGCAGCTCCGGTCTTTGGGTATCCCTAGATCTCTGACTGCCAGAAGCTGGGACTGGACTACAGGGGATGGATCATCCAATAATTGCACTGTTCAGTTCATTCCCTCTGATGAATCAGGCACTGGCCTATCATAAGACAGGATACTGGGCTAGATGGACCATGGGTCTCGCCCAGAATGGACATGACCAGAATGGACATGTTTTGCCTTTTGTTTTCCTTTGAGGGCATGTCTAAATTACGGGAGCTTTTTTTTGAAAGAGGATATGCAAATTCAATGGGAATTTACATATCTTCTTTGGATCTCACTTTTGAAAGGGGATCTTTCGGGGGAAAAAACCCTTTTTCGAAAAAACTGGGTAAAACGTCCTTTTTTAAGGAAGAACAGTTTTTTGGAAAAAAGGTTTTTTCCCTGAAAAAACTGCATCCAGACTACTTTCACTTTCAAAAGATTTGCATATGTTTCGAAAATTCTACGTAGTCTAGACGCAGCCTGAGACCTGTTCTTCATAACTCGTGTGGTCCAATTCTGCCTTTCCACCAGAGTGGCTTACTCTGACTTAAATGCAGACTCTGGTCTTCCAGATCCAAATGTATAGCCCAGACCCCACTCTCTACAAAGTAAGGCTTACTTATTTTGAGTTATTTTAGCATATAATTAATAATTTCATTTTCTTTTCTTTATTTTTAAAAAGTTATTTCATCTGTAGAAATAAATCATGCCATTTTATTGTATATTAGCAATAGTTTTACAAAACTTTATATGTTCATTAAAATTTTGATATTTAAATAACAGCATATTTTTTCCTTGCAGCATTCAACACATTTTAGGAAATCTCTTTCTGCAGCTTTTTTTGGGGATTCCCTTAGAAATGGTTCATAAAGGGCATCGGGTCGGTCTGGTGTATCTCGCAGGAGTGATTGGAGGTCAGTGCGTAATGGGAAATGGGTAAGCTTAAATAAAGAGCTGTCTATAGCAGAAAATGAATGTATATTATCGCCACATCCCCTTTCCTGATCAAGACATTCAAAAGTTGTTAGTATACTGCTCTGCGTAACATAACCAGTTCTCCTAGGGTGTGTCTAGACTACATGGCTCTGTCGACGGAGCCATGTAGATGAGCTTTCTAGACATAGCAAAATGAAGCGGCGATTCAAATAATTGCCGCTTCATTTACATCAAAATGGCCACTGTGCTGTGTGATCAGCTGTTTGGCGGCACAGTGGGGCAGTCTGGACACGCTGCGGTCGACAAGGGAAGCCTTATGCCTCGTGAAACGAGGTTTACTGGAGCAGTCGACAAAGGCTTCCCTTGTCGACCGTGGCGTGTCTAGACTGCCCCGCTGTGCTGGATCAGCTGATCATTGCCACAGCGTGGCGGCCGTTTTGATGTAAATGAAGCAGCGATTATTTAAATCGCCGCTTCATTTTGCTATGTCTAGAAAGCTCATCTGCATGGCTCCGTCAACGGAGCCATGTAGTCTAGACACACCCTTAGTGCAGAGAATGCCTCGGTTCCAGCTTTTTACCATACTACAAAACAGCACTATTCTCCACTCAAGTGCTAGTTTCAACTTTATGGCCATTCCCCCTTCCAATTTTTTCCACATTCCAGTTCATTCATACAGAAAGTGTTAGTCAGCATCATTTTACAATTCTCATATTTCTAATGGACGAGTACATTGAATTAATTCTCAATGGGAAGAGTAAATTGCTTGTACTCTTCTGTATTCTCCAGTCTACTAGGGACTAGAAAAATAAGGACAGATAATGTTCCTGGAAAAGCAAATCTGGAAGTTGGTTACTGTCACTGACTTCAGTGGGTTTCCTGACAGAAGCTCTGTTACTTCTAAATAAAATCAAAGAAGCAGCAACATTGTTCCTCTGTAACCTGCCGTACCTTACTCCATCACCAAGAAAACAAGACTTGTCTCCTGACTGTTTCTAATTCTAAGTATAATGTTTGGTAACCACTTCTGGTACTTGTTTTAATACGACCCTACTGTAGAACTTCTCATGTTTTAATTTTTATTATAATATAAGGGATAGAAGGTGATATCTGCTATCCAACAGTATCAAGAAAAATGAGAGGGTAACAAATAAATCTTCCTACAAAGGCACATTTTAATTATATAAATATGTAAGCAATTACACAATGTGACTCAATTATAATTGAGTACCACATGGTATTAAAATGTTAAACTTGATTTGAAGCCAAAGTCATTGATCATGCAAACAGGTGGATCTCTAATGGCTTTAATGGAATTGTATATATGTACACAAGCAGCAAATTTGCACTTTTAGCTATAAATTAGGCCCTTCTAGCCTTTCAAGCAAATCTAATTTTTACTTATCAAGGATTTAACCTATTGAAAATAAGACATACCTATGAAGAAACCACTATGATTTAGAAATGCAGTGTTTTATGAGCATGTTTCTATTGATGAAAAGTAGAACAGTTCCTTTCTTGGAGGAATTATAAAATGTTGACTATGAGGGTTGACTATCTGATGGCTGCAGAAATTCTCAAGCCTCTGTATTCTCATGCATTGAGATGCAACTGCATTTTGAGTCTTATAGTACCTTCAAAGCATAGCTTCAGCTGGGAGATCACCATGTAACTGCAGTGTCCATTCAGAAGCCATTCATAGGTCTGAAGAGACTGAGGCAGGAACTTCTGAAACTTCATTTTAATTATAAGCAGAGTTCAAATCCTGCATTGAAATAAATGAGTTGGAGGCCAGAAGGGACCATCATGATCATCTAGTCTGACCAAGTGCACCCTTCAGGTTACAAAATCTTGCCCACTCAATCCTGTAATAGACCCCGAACTTCTGGCTGAGTTACTGGTGTCCTCGTGTCATGATTTAAAGACTTCAAGTTACAGAGAATCCCCCATTTACACCAGTTTAAACCTCCAGGTGACCTGTGTCCCATGCTGGAGAGAAGGTGAAAAATGCCAGAGTCTCTACCAGTCTGACCTAGGGCAAAATTCCTTCCTGACCCAAGATACAGTGATCAGTTAGACCCTGGGCAAGTGGGCAAGACCCACCAGCCAGACAGCAGGGAAAGAATTCTGTATAGTAGCTCAGAGGTCTTCCCATCAGCAACTATTGGAGATATTTGCTGCTACTAGTTGGAGATTTGCCATATGCCATTCTGGGCAGTCTCTTCATACTATCCCCTCCAGAAACTTGTCAGGCTCAGTCTTGACACCAATTAATTCCCCTTCCCCCCACTGTTCCCTTTGGAGGCTGTTCCAGAATGTCGCTCCTCTGATGGTTAGAAACCTTCATCTAATTTCAGGCCTAAGCATGTTGATGGCCAGTTTATATCCTTTTGTTCTTGTGTCCACCCTGGTGCTTAACTTAAATATGTCCTCTCCCTCCTTAGTATTTATCCCTCTGATGTGTTTATAGAGAGCTGCCACATTTCCCCCCTGCCTTCATGTGATTAGGCTAAACAAGCCAAGCTCTTTTGTGCCTTCTCTCATAAGGTGGGTTTTGCATTCCTCGGACCATCCTATTAGTAGGGTTGCCAGATGGTTTCAACAAAATACCGGACACACTTGACATTACATCACAATCTACATTACCGTATTTTCCGGCGTATAGGGCGACTGGGTGTATAAGACGACCCCCTATCTTTTTAATTAAAAGATAGGGTTTCATCTTATACCCCAGCGCCCCTCTGCCTCCTTTGCTCCCGGTGTCCCTGGTCTGCTGGAGATGGTCCCCAGCAGACCAGAGGCACCGGGAGCAAAGCCGAAGCGGCGGTGGGATGTCGCGCTTCTGAGGCACCGGGACACCGGGAGCAAAGCCGGGGAGGCGGAGGGGCGCTGGGGTATAAGACAAAACCCTATCTTTTAACTAAAAAATTAGGGGTCGTCTTATACGCCCAGTAGCCTTATACGCCAGAAAATACGGTACATTTATTAACACATTTCATATGAAATTCAGTTTATTTAAAAAATGGATTTACTTCTAAAAAGAAAAAAATATATAATTTAAACAACAAAATCTAAAGACTGATTTAAATAAAAATGTATTTTAAAAATTATCAATTTTGACCATCGCCGGAATATACGGTACATCTTACTAAGAAAATACCGGACATTTCTATTTTCTCATTTATCTTTTCTCAATTTGTTTCCCGAACAGAAAGCTCAAATACTGGACTGTCCTATTCAAAACCAGACACCTGGCAACCCTACCTACTAGCCCTTCTCTGCCCCTGTTCCACTTGGAATTCATCTTTAAAAAAAGATGAGAGATGAGAATTGCACACAACATTCCAAATAAGGTCTCATCAGTATAATGATACTAACACTTCCCTGTGTCTGTGGGAAATACCTCACCTGGTGTATCCCAGGACTGCATTAGCCTTTTTCACGGCCGTATCACACTGGTGTAGGTAAAGCTTTAGTTGGCCTTTTTTATTTCTTTCTCCAGTTTCTAATATATCTGTTCATCTAATTGCAGTTGTGTCATCTTAAAGTTCCCACGAGGACTCATGTCTTAAGGACATTTCTGTCTTTTCAGGTTCCTTGGCTAGCTCAATCTTTGATCCCCGCCATGCTCTCGTAGGGGCTTCAGGAGGAGTCTATGCTCTCATTGGAGGATACTTCATGAATGTTTTACTGGTAAGGAAACAATTGGAAATGCTCAGAAAAAACAACTTCTTTGTGGATCTTTGTTCACTTTTTGGGATCAGTTTTATTCGTGTAAATAAGATGTTTATATTTTTCAGGAAAGTGGAATGATTAAGGAAAATGTATCCCTCATATATGTCTTTGCTGAACAAACTGCCCTTCAGAATCAAAACTTCATAGATGCTTTTTGTACTATTAATGGAGGAAAAAGTGAATTTAGCAGTTGACATAATTTCTTTCTTTCTCTGTCTCTGTCACTCAACATATTTTTGTTTGCTAATTAAGGTCTTGGCTTCCATGATCTCTAGTGTCAGAGGCTGATTGTATATTGGGTGGCTTTTAAAAAATGCTCTAAAGATAATTGGTATCCTTTGTGTAAAGCAAAAACATTGCTTTGAAAGGACCTATATTTGGATTATAAAATAAGGAAGAATGTGAAAAATGTGATGATAGCAGTGGCATAGTGAATTAAGCTCTTTGTTTTTGGAGTTTGGGCATGCCACATTTCCTTTCTGTGCCTCAGTTTTCTCCTCTGTAAAATGGGTAGAATGATACTGACTTCTTTGTAAAATGACTTGTGATTGTTTGAAAGGTGTTCTGAGAAATGTAGGGTGTTACTAAGGGTGTGTCTAGACTACAGAGTTTTGTCGACAAAAGTGGACTTTTGTCGACAAAACTATACCTGCATCTATACTACCGCTGAGTTCTGTCAACATAACGTCGACAGAACTCAGCAGTTTTGTCAACGCTGGTAAACCTCATTTTACGAGGCATAACGCCTTCTGTCGACAGAGTTCTGTCGACAGAAGGTGTTATTGCATGTAAACTCTCCTTGCGTCTACACTGCCATGTCGACAAAGCAGCTTGCTTTGTCGACAGAACTGAATGTAGTGTAGACGCTCTTTGTCGACAAAAGCTTTGTCGACAGTATCTGTCGACAAAACTTCTGTCGACAAAACTCTGTAGTCTAGACGTGCCCTTAGTGTATACTGATGTACCTAACTAGACTGTTTTTGTGTACTCTTACATGCATATATAGGTCCATGTATATAATTATATAGCTCCATTGTTTCTTTTACTCTCTCCTAGAACTTCAAAGAAATGATTCCTTTGTTTGGAATCTTCAGATTGCTCATCATCGTGACCATAGGTAATTTTGATCTTACCTAATATACATATGAGGATAAAACTGTACAAGACACACAATATTTAATTATACAGAAATGAATGCCCACTTGGAGTCCAAAATACTAATACCCAGGGAGATATCAGTTGCACATTATTCAGTTTGCTAGAACCACAAAGAAAAGGTAAATAGGGATTAGGTTAAATTATAATGTAAACAGATCTTTGAACTTTTAAATACTACTTATTACTGTGTAATGCCAAAGCTGTGTGTGGTGCTTGATAAAACTCTAGTTAAATTTTGTTCTGTTAAGAGGAGGGTAATAGTGAAGTTAATTGGAGTGAGAAACCTGTGACTGAGAGTAGAATTTAGCCAGAATCTTATTTTCCTGGCTACTGCATTTCACTCCCAAAGCAATTGCTTCAGTTGTGGGTGAGGTGATCTTTGTAGTTAGCTTTGTTGATGCCACTCAAAGACATACCAAGTTGTTATTTACACCCATTACTTTGATTTATTTTTGAAATGTAATAAATTGTTAAAATTTGAATGAACAATCCTATGATAAGAACTGTGTGGGTTTATTTTTAGTTGGAACAGATATGGGATTTGCTCTGTACAGAAGATTTATAGCACCTATGAATGGACCTCAAGTAAGTGCATTCTTCACTGAAAAAGCTTGTATAATATAACCCGTGTTCTACTACATCTACTAAATTTCAATACTTAATACAAGAATAGCATTAAGTATTGAAAGATTGTGATGATTCCTGTTGTTCCAAGAAACAAAATGGCACATAATCCCAATGATACATACAAAATTATGGGATATAAATTGTTACCATTCAAGAGGAGTGACCATGGATAGTTCTCTGTGAACATCTGCTCCATATGCAATGGCAGTCAAAAAAAGCAAACAGAATGTTAGGAACCATTAGGAAAAGGATAGATAGGACACAAAATCATAATGCCACTATATATTATGGCTTCTAATCCGAACTAGCTGTATTAGCCACTATTAGGCTTCTAATCCGAACTAGCTGTACTCCTCATGGAACGAGGTGTACAGCTAGTTCGGATTAGGAAGTGTAGACATACCCTGAGAGATACCATTCCAGAAGCACTAGCTGAGGCAGTCAGAGTATTCATGAATTTTTGCTGGAGCCTCTCTCCTGAAATGTAGCAATATACAGTGATATATTGGAGGACGGTACTTGTAATTCTGAAATAAGTCTATTTAAAACTCTTTTTCTAAACCATGGAATGCAAGAAATGTGTTAATATTTGGATTATGGATGTGTAGAGATATAATGAGGTAAATTCAATCAGGGAGGATGAGGCCCACTTCTAGCAGCTGATCTGGAGGTGTGAACAGCTCCCTTACTGAATTTATCTCTAGCCTGATTCTTGCCTGCCTATTTATATCTGCCTCTGTAAATTTCCACTACATGCATCTGACAAAGTGAGTCTTTGCCCATGAAAGCTTATGCTCCAATACACCTGTTAGTCTATAAGGTGCTACAGGACTCCTTGTCACTTTCATCAGGAGATACAGTCTGGTAGGGGTCAGGCTGGCGTTCTCCTGCTACTGCTCCCCTGAGCCTTCCCGGCTCTGCTCTGTCCAAGGTGCTGCTGGCTCTTTCCCATCCCGGGATGCAGCTCCTTCTCTCTTGCTGGTGTCTTGGGGCTCGTCTACACTACGGAGATCAATGCTGTCACTGTCAATCTTCCAGGATTTGAATTAGTGGGTCTAGTAAAGACCCACTAATTCAAACTGAGAGGCATCCCTGTTGGCGCCAATAGTTCTGCTCCTCACAAGAATTAAGGGAATTTGACGGGACCTCCTGCTGCATGGACGGTGCCAAAATGTGATTTAAGATACTTCGACTCCAGCTACGTAATTAACGTAAGTGGAGTTGCATATCTTAAGTCAACTTTCCCCTTTAGACCAGGCCTTGCAGAGACCTGAAGGAGTAATTGGTGGTAGGAAAAGCAGAGTTACAGAAGCCTGGGTAGGAATTGTAGGACCTGGATGATCTCATTCATCCATTCTAACTCAAAACACCTTTTGAGAAATATTTCATTTCATATTTTTCTATAAAAATAAGTAGGGATATGTGAGGTGGATTGACACGGCTTCTTTCAGTGACTCCAGAATGTTCAGACGCAGACTTCTTATTGTTCAAGGACTTCGTCAGGACAGAATGGACAATGTTCTTTCATCCCGACAGACTTACACTGAAATCCAGATAGCCACAAGATATTTGTTCTTAAATTATACGGGGCATGGACACTTTATATTTGCTCCTAATATGTAGCTCAATTTAAACTATTAACTGACAGTGCTACACATGAAGTCACCAAAAATTCACTATGAAACGGATTAGTTATTTCTGACTCCAACAGCTGCACTCCAGTTATAGGACAATATCATTTACATTCACGATTTGTGACGAGCAAACTCCGCTAGACACCTGGGACTGGAGAGCAGGCTTCTTGGCAGCAACATGGAGTGACAATATACGTATATTCCACGCATACTTGAAGTTGGCATGACATCTCTTTGCTTTGATGCCTCTCTTCCCAGCTTTGTTAATCCCTTAGGGTATGTCTACACAGCAAAGTTATTTCAAAATACCAGCCGTTATTTCGAAATAACTTTCCTAGTGTCTACACAAGCCAACTGCTATTTTGAAATTAATTCGGAGGGCTTATTTCAAAATTGGTAAACCTCATTCCACGAGGAATAGCACCAATTTTGAAATTGGTATTTCGAAATAAGCACTGTGTAGATGCTTATTTCAAAATAGGGGGCCTCCAGCCCTTCCCAGGGTGCCCCGCTGGCTGCCCTGGCCACAAGGTAACTTCCAATCTAATGCCCGGCCGGAACCAGTTCTGGCTGGCCTTAAATGCGATTCAGCGTCCAATCAGTGTGGACACGCTTTTTTGAAATAGGAAAAAGCTATTTCGAAATGCATTTTGTATGTAGACACGTTATTTCGAAATAAGATATTTAGCAGGTATTTTGAAATAACGCTGTAGTGTAGACATACCCTTATTTCCTTAAGTATTAGATTTAGCTACAAACTTTAGAACTCCATTTGCAGAGATTGGTCAGTACTACAGGAATATGGTCAAACTAAATCTGTGTTTTGTACCATGGCACCTTAAAATGATCTGGTGGGAAATCTATTCTAATATTCAAAATCTCCTCTTTTTCTGAGAAGTAATCAGTCTTTTTCTGCTGTGACCCAGTACTTGACCACACAAACAGCAGAGGGAGCACAAATTAACACACTATTCCTGGACCTCTCTTTACTCTGAAAACAAGGAGCAGGGATGGCAAATCATTTGTGGCCATCCAGATGATGCGAGAGAGAGAGAGAGAGAGAGAGAGAGAGAGAGAGAGAGTGTGTGTGTGTACACTTCATGGTACATTCTTATCTTAGTTCTATCTAATATATCTAATTTTCTTCTCTTCTCTGTCCAGGTTTTAATACTTCACTCATCACTGTTGTAACCGAATGCTTTACATCTATAACTTTCCTGCTCATCTTGAATATTTTTGTGTACCACCTGCAGCCATGGACTTTTCATACCTGAAGTTAAGCAGGGTTGGACTTGGTCACACTCTAAATTTGAAACCTCCAAGGGATTGTACTGTGCACACTGACTTTTGGCGAATCAGTAGGAAACCATGTTCCCTTGGAATGTCCCAGCATGACTTTAGGGACAAGCCATATTTTGGATGAGGCATAAAGCTGTGATAGAAGATGTCACAACTCTCCTCCTAAAAGTGTGCCCATGTTCTAGCCAAATTCCCAGTTAATTTAATTTAATTCTACCTCCCTAGATTCATGCCAGCAGGTTTAATTATATGTAGCTGTACACCATTTAACAGCTACTGCCTTCCACCAGAGTAGCTACATTTAAAAACTCAGAATCTCTACCCATCCTTTACCTCTCTCATAGGCATGTATTAAAGCTAAAGTTATATTGAGAAGTGCTTTCAAATCTTTGGATTAATAATGTTATAGAAGTGCTGCTGTTCCTGTCTTGAAATGTAACTTAACAGTTTACTTTTTTCTCTCTTAAGGTATCCTTTGTGGCTCACATTGCTGGTGGCCTAGCTGGGATGTCAATAGGTTATGTCGTTTTCAGTTGTTTTGATCAAAATTTAATAAAAGATCCAAGATTCTGGATCGCCATTGTTGCTTATTTAGTCTGTGTAGTGTTTGCTGTATTTTTCAACATCTTTCTGTCACCAGCAAACTAGCCTGCACACCCACAAAAGAAACAGTTGAATCACCAGAAAGACTTAAAAAAAAGAAAAGAAAAATTAGAGTTTTATAACAACAAAAGAACTCCATAAATGTTACTTTTTAAAATAATGGTTGTGTTCTGTACAGACTATAATTTTTAAAGCATTAAACCATCGTTTGATGGTTTTTCTATCTCAGAAATTAAATGTAATTATTAAAATATGGCCTTTAAAAAGTATATGTAACCTTTTCTATTTTCTATCGCTTTTTATACTGTTAAATAAACATCAAGGGTTCCTAGTTGTTTTGGAATAATACTTGGTGCATTTGTGACATTATTCAATAATATTCACTTGGAAGAAATTACTTCTTCCAATACCAGCTTTCTGACCTCAAAACAAACAGAGAATTGTTGATCAGCACAATAAAGAGTGCTTTTAGAGGAAAAAAAAGTCGTGGTGTGAGATTTTTTTACAGTTGAATAGCAAGTGTGATTATTCTTGTTCTTTGTCATTTATAGTCAAAGCTTCTAGTTCTTAGACACAGATCTTATGTCTAGTCCACGGCCAAGTCTCTAGATTCTGTGACATGCTACTTCAACAGACTGGAAATTCAGTGGCAGCTCTGTTTTCTTTTTAGAGCGATTTTCCAGGAATTACATCTTATTCTATTGCGAGCAAGATTTGCATAATTGCTGCCTTCAAGGGTTCCTTGCATCTGTTTCTAGAGTATTCATTATCTCAGTTAAAGACAGGTTACATCATTTGATGGATCACTGGTCTGATCCAGTATTGCAGCTTTTATGTGCCAATGAGCTATAAACATGAAGATGTTGTTGCACTGGTTGGATTCATATTGATATTACACTTTATTTTACAGTGAAACAAAATACAGGACTATGTAGCACTTTAAAGACTAACAAGATGGTTTATTAGGTGATGAGCTTTTGTGGGCCAGATCCACTTCCTCAGATCAAATAGTGGAAGAAAATTGTCACAACCATATATACCAAAGGATACAATTAAAAAAAAGTGAACACATATGAAAAGGACAAATCAAATTTCAGAACAGAAGGGGGATGGGTAGGGGGGAAGGGAAATGTCTGTGAGCTAATGATATTAGAGGTGATAATTGGGGAAGCTATCTTTGTAATGGATAAGATAATTAGATTCTTTATTCAGACTCAGGTGTAAAGTGTCGAATTTAAGCATGAATTTTACAGTGGGTCTTCATTGTGCAGCATGCACAGCTGTGCATTGATAAGGCAGCACACTGCGGGAAGCTGGATGTTTTGATGCTCTGGTTTTCACATTGAAGAGGTGTGACATAGTGGGGGGGGGGAGATGTGCACTCTTGTGACCCTGGGTCCACTGTGGTTGGGCATTCACTGGTTGCTGTGTTGTGCTATGGGTGACCCCTACTGGCTGGTGTCGGTGAGCACTGCCCAGCGGCGGGTGGTCCCTGAAGTCAGGCACATAGGCCATGGCTAGCAACTTCTCACCTGGCCAGGGGAAGGAGTTTAAACAAAGGAAGGGGTGTGGCTACCTGGGGGGAGTGAGTGACCTGTGGCTGAGAGAGGGGGCAGTCTTGGCTGAGCAAACATGAAGAGAACAGATTAAGTCAAGTACTGGGGGTTCAGGGGCCTGTGTACCCCTGTCCCAAGGGGTCTAAGGCTGCCTGCCCCTGACTCCTATGTCCTCATCGAACCTGGGCTGTGCTGTATCTCTGAGAAGCAATAAACTCTCTCTATTCTACCGGATGGTGGAGTCACATCTTGCTGTGGATGTGAGTGTAGGGTTGGGTGTCCCCGATGCGCCGTCACAGAAGGCATGGAAGTTAGTTTGTGGTTGTGGAACAGGAACATTCTCTAGATATTTCTGCTCAACTTATCAGCGCTGAAAGAGCTGTTGACCCTTTAATTGCCATTATGATCCCGACTTGATATCCTAGTGAGACAATCTCAGGTATCTAAACGGGTATCATGAGGAGGAGGGAGGAAACTTGTTCATCTTGGCCTCTGAGAATAGAACAAGAAGCAGCAAGGGAGGTTTAAGTTGGACATTAGGAAAAAGTTCCTAACTGTCAGGGTAGTCAAACACTGGAATAAATTGCCCAGGGACGTTGTAGAATCTCCATCTCTGGAGATATTTAAGAGTAGGTTAGATAAATGTCTGTCAGGGATGGTCTAATCAGTACTTGGTCCTTCCATGAGGGCAGGAGACTGGATTCGATGACCTCTCGAGTCCTAGTATTCTATGATTTTATGAAAGGGGACACCTGCCAGACTATTGGTTTGTAGAATGAGGCAGCTAGTACTTCAAGATACATTTGATTCAGAAGCCAAAGTTATTTTTACAACCCGAGGGTTACAAACACTTAACAGAAGTGTAGAGTCTGGAAAAATTATTGGGCAAAAAGTGGATTACACGCTGCATTCCATGCAGTCTTGTAAAATATGTGGTATTACTTCTAACTGATGGAGGAAAAGCAGTTTTGTGCTTTTGCCATTGCCAATTAAAACATGCTTAAACAGGTAATGGTTTTCATTGTAACTTGATTTTGATCTTAATTTGGACTCATCTGACTCAGGGTTTCGCTTTGCTCTGAATTTCTCTCTTAAAATGTTAGAGAATTTTCCTTAACTATTGAGGATGAGTAGTTCACACAGCTGCAGCTGATGCAGGCTGACCATTGTCCAGGTTCCGAGCTACCTAATCTACAACAGCCACTCTGAAAGTTACCCCAACTTGTCATCTTATTTTTTTCTCCTGGAGAGAAAAAAAATCATTATAGGTTGTGGAGCCCATCTGTTCCTTCCCAACACCAGTTCATATTATTTCATTTTCCACATTCTCCTTGTTTAAGAATAGTGACTAAGGCCACATTTATACTTACTGTTCTGGAGATTGATCTTCTGACATTCAATTTAGTGAGTCTAGTTAAGACCCACTAAATAGAATGCTGAGGGTGGCTCTAGCTGGCGCCAGTATCCCTGGCAGTAGTGAGGAATCGGGGAAGCCGACGGGAGTGTTTTCTCCCATTGGCCTTCCTCTGTGAAGATGGTAAGCCAACTTCAGCTATGGAGCTGCATACCTTACCCTGACCTTTCAGGTCTCGTGTAGACCTGGACTTACTCATATGATGCTGAAACTTCCATGCTTGAATTATTTTCTATTGCTAAAGATGTAACTCTTTACACTTAGGTGACTTCACTTTGTCCAGTTACTGGACCAAATGTCTAAATGAAAGCACACTGTCTAATCTATAATTTTCTATGGGAATTTATCCATTTAATGGGAGAAAAGTATACAAATACTTCCTACTTTCTTTATTGTGGCTTTTTTTCCACCAAAAAAAGGAAATACAAAGAATAGCCATATCTATGATAACTAGTGAACAGCTCTGATTTGTGGCAGGAATATGGACCTTCTGAATGATCTGAAGGACAAACCAAATTTTTGCAGACAGTGCTTATGTAAGCAGAAACTCAGAAATGTTCACTGGTAATCAGCAGTTACCTCAGGCTTTGTGAACTGATCTAAAAACAATTGTGGGGGAGGGGAGGAACGTGGTACCTCTAGTTTTATACATGCTTGCTCATTATGCATATTAAGATCATACATAGCAATAGTTATATTTTAAAATATTAATTACAAATGTACCAGAACAACAAAGAAAGTGACAGGAATAAGCCTAGACATAAGACAATTCCTGCATCCTCTAGGGTTTTTTGTGCTTCTATTTATTTAGATGGCCATTGTAGGTCAGACAAAATACAGTAGAAAATAAAAATCAATACTGTCTCTAAAGCACATGCTATTGACAATTAAGAATTAAAAGCTCTTGGTTTTAGGAGTATTTTTCCATGAGGACAATTTGGTTTATAGTTTTTCATGTTAAATTGAATTAGATACAGTTTTATAAGTTTTTATATAAAAATGTTAGGAAGTGGTTAAAGTGGTTTGGGCTTGCAAAGCAACAAAAAACTTTTTCATCTCTAGGGGTAAGTCTACACGGCACGCTTATTTTGAAATAAGCTATTCCGGAAGAAATACTCTGAAATAGTTTATTTCAAAATAGCACGTTTACACCACAAAATTAGTCCAAGGCAGGCTTCCCTAATGTGGACATGCTACCTCAATTTAGAGCCCCAGGAGGCACTGGGGAGTAATTACTTTGAATGGCTCTGGGGAAGGAGCTATTTCAAAATAACAGCAGTGGAGTGTCCACACTACTGCTATTCCAAAATAGCTGTTTCGGAATATGCATTATTCCTCCTGGAAGGAGGTTTACAGAAATTGGAATAAGCTGTCCATTATTTCAAATTTATTTCTAAATATTGGTTTTGCTGTGTAGATGTTTGCATTGTTATTTCGGAATAACGGCCATTATTCCAAAATAACGCTGCTGTACAGATGCACCCTTAGTCAGTAGCTTGTTAGTACCTAAGGATTAAATTTTGGAGACAGACAGACACACACACACACACACACACACACACACACACACGCCTGACCATGTAAAAAAGAGTTTAAAAGTAGATATCACTTGATGCATCTTGAAGCTTCAGGTCTACCTGTTGCCTTCTTCCTTCATTTACAGCTCCAGCAGCTGAACATGTGGCAGAAAGAAGGTTTAAAAAAAAAAAAAAAGCATAAATGTATCTTAGGTGCTCCCCAAAAGGGGTGCTCTGTGCCCCTCACCTGAATAAAATCTAAATAGTTTAACAGAGCATTGTGTAGACTATTTGTGAAATGCTGGTCATCTGTGTGAGGGCTCACTGCAATTTTGCTGTTATTCCAGACTCTTTTTCCTG